TTCCTCTCAGAGTTTCTTCTTTCTTCCAATATTTTGAGAGTGAATGCAGATGCACATGTTGTGCTTGGCCACAGAACAGTTTCCCTTTGATCACAAAAAAGTGTGCCAGGTGAACTGTTAGTTGAATTGTTCAACATCAGCATAGACAGAAAATCCACTCTACTCCTGCAAGAGGCATTGCTTTATGTGCTCGCAAAGAAAGGCATACCAGATCAGATGGAGATGACCACCATTCTGTCTAGGTCAAAGAGGATTTAATAAACAAAGGTTTAGTCACGATGGCAGGAAGCAAAAAGATATATATATATATGTGACAAGAGCAGTGTACACCTGACTTTGCCCCAAAATGCAGCTCTATATTATTATTACCAGCTCAACAGAGAAAAAACTTGGGGTGGGAAGTGCAACTTAATTGGAAATTGCTCCTGGGTCACTGGTCCATCTAGACCCAGGGATGTTCTGGACCCTGAGGAGATTATGAATCAAGCCATAATGCATCCAGAAATAGTGCAATTATCCTCATCCCTTGCCATTGAAGGCTGGGTAGCTTGACGTCAGCAGTGTGTGTGTGTGTGTGTGGTGGAGACCCTTAGTCCCCAGCAAAAATGCTGCTGTGCCAAAGTGAAGCACTTTACTCAAGGCTTGTGAACAAAACACAAGACAGTTCCGTAGCTGGTAAAGATCCATGATGAGCATATGCAGGTGGTTGTAGAGAGATTGCCATTCTGGTCCCTCTGTGAGCTCCAGGTGATCCTGAATTTGTGGGTAAGCAGAAGTGGCAAACTGTAGTCTTCTTTGTAAGCTAATTCTGTTTAGTTAGCTGTTGGAGGGACTTGGGGGAATTAGGGAGAAGAGGTGAATAGGAACAAATGGTGGCTGCGGATGATCTGCAATCTTCGTTGGCTTCTTGATATGAGCCTTACAAAGCCAATGCAGAATTGTGTGGGACATGTTTTTTAAAAAATAAATTTTTATTAGTTTTGTATAAAAGTTGTACACCATAAACATAATATTTTCAAACCTTTAAAAAGTGGTTCTTTCAAACCTTGAGACCTCCTTCCCTCCCTCCATGGGTTCCAATTCTTAAAAAAAATTTTTAAAAAATCCCCTACATCTTTTACTGTAATCTATCTATTATATAATCATAGTATTCAAAATCCATGTTACTTTACAAGTGTCATTGTATTCCTGTCAATGATTTCAACTGTTTACAGTGGTCTCTCAAATATGTTAGAAAATTATTCCAGTCTTTTAAGCATACTTGGTCTTCCTGATTTCTGATCTTTCCCATCAGTCTAGCCATTTCTGCATATTCCATCCGCTTGGTCTGCCACTCTTCTCTGGTTGGTACTTCTTCTTCTTTCCATCTCTGGGCAAGAAGCATCCTTGCTGCTATCTTTGCATACATAAACAGTCTTTTATTTTGGTAGTTCCTGGACATAACTTAACCTTGGTTCAATTAGCCTTCTTCAATGGGCACACATTTTGCTCCAGAGGCACCAAACAAAACTTATCGGCAGTATAGGGTTCTCTTTAGACATTTCTTCCTATCCAAGCATACAATTAGCTGCAGTAGCATAAGTGACCCAGGGTGCATTCAGACATGAGGATTATTGCCTTAGATTTCCTGGGTATAACGCTAGCACTTCTGTTCTGGTTTCTAATGCTCTTTTTACATAGCATTATATGACTTTTTGAGTGATATACCACATGTGACACTTAATTTCATCCACACCAGTAGGTGTGATGAGACACAACAGCGGAGATCATTGGAAATTGTGAAGAAGAACTGTAATGCCTGAATAGCGCTCCAACTTAAATCCATTAAATTTAGTGGGTCTACTCTGAGTTGGATAACACCCAATGGACTTAAGAGCCCCTGCAGACAGGTGTTTTATTGTGGGTGTATTCAGCAACATGCTCTTAGCCCAGTAATAGTGGTGGCGCATTTATTCTGCTTTGGTTTGTTCTGCAATGTTTCTCCAATTCTACCATGTTACTGCTGTCCAGAGGGGCTATAGCACAATAAAAGCAGGAGAAAGATAAACCACAACATTTGTGATATAAGAGGGTATAAGTCATGGGGCATGCACTGATGGGAAGTGAAGCAGTGTGACCACCCTGAAGCTTCAGCAGGCACAAATGGTATTGAAAGCAGGGTTGCATGTAACTGCCCCAGTAGCATCAAGAGCACAAATCACCATGAAAGTGTAATAAAAATTATGTATAGAGGAGCCCTAAATGCATGTAAGTGGTATCCAGGATTACACACAGTGGATTCAACCAAGTTTTACCCAGAGGTAGGCCCACTGGAATTAATGAGGTCCATTCCTTTCAGTGGACCTACTCTGAGTAAACCTTAATTGAATACCATCCAATTTTAAATAAAATACATTAGATTTCCATGGACCACAATATCTGGGATTCTGGGTCAGTCTGAGCATTTGGCGACCATTACTGGAGGAGTGCCAGCCCATTTTCTGCAGTCTACTTCCCTTTTGTGGTCCTTCTCACATTTTGGCATATCTCTTGGGAGTGTTTCTTGAGCAAAAATTAAAAAAAATAAAATCCTCCTGCTTGTTTCCCTTCTCGAAATGACCCCTCCTGTTGTTGATTCAGTGAGTGGCATTGATAGATGGGACTCCTTGGCCTCCTAGCTGGAGGAGTTGCGATGATGGAATACCAGGAGGGAAAGGGATTGTGAGGGAGCTAATGCTTTAGAGGTCAGGGAGAAAAAGAACAAAGAGGGAAACCGCAGAGACTTTCTCTTCTGACAAACATGTCAGTCGCTCTACACAAGCTATGATTTTCCCAGCGTCCCTCCATCCGTCTCCCTGGTCAGAGAGCTGAAAATAATTTTCAGGCCAAAAAAATATTATTTATTTATTTATTTATTATTTTTAATGTCCGTTTAGTCTCCTTTTAAAACTCAGAGAGATAGTGAGGGACTGGGTGGGGTGGTAAGAAACGAAAAAGAACCCTCCTGAATCAGACCCAGCTATTTCAGCATCCTAATCTTACAATGGCCAACCAGATGCAACTGGCATTCCAAAGCACACTGCTTCTGACAGGTACAGCCACAACTTGGCAATGTCCTGGCCCTAACACCCAAGAGCGTTGGTGGGGATGGAGATGCTATTTCAGCAAAGTTATTTAGGGCTTTAAACACAAACATGAGAGTCTTGACTTGAGCTTGGTGTAACTTCAGTGCAAGAATGTGAATTGTACAGGCATCTGTTTGGCTACTGTGAGAACAGGATGATGTCCTAAGATGGGTCATTGGTCTTATCCAGCAGTTCTTCTTATGTTCTTATGGGGACAAACAAATATAAGCAGTTTGTACAGCTGCTAGCCCACAAAGGTAAAGGTAAAAGGACCCCTGACCATTAGGTCCAGTCGTGGCTGACTCTGGGGTTGCAGCACTCATCTCGCTTTATTGGCCCAGGGAGCCGGCGTACAGCTTCCGCATCATGTGGCCAGCATGACTAAGCCGGTTCTGGCGAACCAGAGCAGCGCATGGAAATGCTGTTTACCTTCCCGTCGGAGTGGTACCTATTTATGTACTTGCACTTTGATGTGCTTTCGAACTGCTAGGTTGGCAGCAGCAGGGACCGAGCAACGGGAGCTCATCCCATCACGGGGATTCGAACCGCTGACCTTCTGACCGGCAAGCCCTAGGCTCTGTGGTTTAACCCACCTTGCACTATCAGCCATTTCCAAGGTCTGGCTGGCTGGCTGGCGCTCTCTCTCTCTCTCTCTCTCTCTCTCTCTCTCTCTCTCTCATTCAAACTGCTTTCTTTTTTTGGCCAGAACACACATCTCTGCAGAACATCACTCTCAGACATCACCCCCTGCAGGTAGATTGCCCATTCAGGAATAACATCTCTGAACCATTAGCTCCATTGAAGGAAGTTCAACTGATCATCTTCAACTATTTGTAGCAAGCAATCAGCTCCGCAGAGTATGGTCTCCCGGAATATAGAACACCCAAGACTCTTTGGACTCAAATAAGATTTTTCCTTTAAAGTCATTTTGTGCAAAGATGTGGACCACCTAAGAGGTTCTGAGCAGAAAGTTCTCAGTGGAATCATTTCAACTAAAATGGGGTGGAGAGAAGTTTCAACAACCCAGTGCCCTAGCTCACTATTTTGGCTGCCACTGCTGTGTGTTTTATAGTTCCAGGTGTCCCAGTAGCTCCCATGTACCTGTTTCCCCAGCAGTCTGTAGAGCATCTTCCTCACTCTGGTTGGCTTCCCGGCGATACTAGCAGAAAAGACTGTGGTGGATGTCTATTTCCAAATCATCAACACATGTTTTCCTCCAAAGTGCCCCCGGCTCGCTCTGTCTCTTATTGTACTTTCCAGCCACTTCACCTAGAAGATATTTCAGAAGTATATTTACTAGGTAATTACTCTGGAAATGCAGGCGCAGCATTATAAAATGCGAAGCTGTCCATATTTTTACTCTTTATCTTTATGGACAACAGCGAAATATCTTGGAGCCAATCAAAGGCCCTTAAGCCTGAGCTTGGCTATGTAACCAAGCCTGCCGAAGATGCTAGCTATCCATGCGAGAAATAAGCAGGCGGAATTGTTAGAGATAATTAGTTTGTACTCCGCAGCCTCGTCACAATTCTTGGCACTGTTATACATTTAATAAGAACAACACGGGCTGTTACACTAGGAACACCGCGCCAGGGTGTGCATATTGGTGCATGCCTCAAACATTATGCTTTTCCATTTGCATGTGAAGCGCTGCGCGACTAGCAATGTTGCATTCAGGCATAGCCCGGGGGGGGGGGGAGTGAAAGAAGGACCTTGAAGGCAAAGAATGGTGGGTTTGTCAGTATGCATGCTTCCTATGCTCTTAGGAAACCGAATGCCTTATGCCAGCGGTTCCCAAACCTTTGGGGGCCACAACCTGCTTAGTTCCATAAGCTCAGTCCCAGTGCTCCCTACCCTACCCCACAAAACACATGATTAAGAATAGCAGTTTGCACAGGCTAGGATAGCTCAGTCGGTAGAGCGTGAGACTCTTAATCTGAGGGTTGTGAGTTCGAGCCCCATGTTGGGCAAAAGATTCCTGCATTGGACTAGATGACCCTTGTGTGGTCCCTTCCAGTTTGACAGTTCTATGATTCTATTTATTTACAGTATTTTTGTATATAATTTTTATTAAGTTTTCTGTTTTGCAATTTAAAATACTCATTTTACATCCTTTAGATATCAATGACTTCCATTCTTCTCTTTCCAGGATTTAAACCCCTTCATATTTTACAAAAACTATACCATTCAGTATTTCATTATTCCTTCCATCAAAACTTGTTTACACTATTGAATTTATCTTAATGCTAGGATTCTATGACGTGCTAAAGAACATAATGACACAGTAGCATCCAAAACAGTAACAATTAATTGCACATTTATTCAAAATCCATTTAAAACTTTCATTCAACCAAACTGACAAACCTGATCTAGTGATAGTCATTGACACGTCCAGCACCCCCCAGACACCCCTCAGGGGGTGGTACCTTATACTGAACCAGATTATTGGACCATCTAGCTCAGTATTGTCTATAGCATGGGTAGGCAAACTAAGGCCCGGGGGCCGGATCTGGCCCAGTCACCTTCTAAATCCGTCCCGTGGATGGTCTGGGAATCAGGGTGCTTTTACATGAGTAGAATGTGTTCTTTTATTTTAAATGCATCTCTGGGTTATTTGTTGGGGCCTGCCTGGCGTTTTTACATGGGTAGAATGTGTGCTTTTATTTAAAATGCATCTCTGGGTTATTTGTGGGGCATAGGAATTTGTTCATTTTTTCCCTTCAAAATATAGTCTGGCTCCCCACAAGGTCTGAGGGACAGTGGACCAGCCCCCTGCTGAAAAAGTATAGTAGACTCTATCCTGACTCGTGGGAAGCTCTCCAGGGTCTCAGATGGAAGTGTTCCCCAGGCCTACCTGGTGATGCCAGGCATGAAAACTGGGACCTTCTGCATGCCAGGCACTTGCTCTACCCCTGAGCCCTGGCCCCTCCCTTTAAAGCAGTGCAGAGCTTTCTTTTTTGAAGTTTAAGGATGTTTAATAGAAAGTTTTATCTCAGAATAAATTTGGTTATATTTATTTAGAGAACAGCTGAAACAAGGCAGCTTTGTGGCCCCTTAAAGTCTGACTGTGGCACAAGATGAGCTTTTGTGGATTACAGCCTACTTCATTGGATGCATGAAGCGTTACTTTCAGTTGTCAGACGCAGATATTAAGGTGTGTGGCGGGGGAAGGCTGTTTGTCAGCAATATTGCTGAAAGGCTTTGAAAAGCAGGAGTTATATAACCTGTGCCATTTCCATGCAAAATTCAAATGATTACAAAAGATGCTCATGGAGCATTCATAGAATAGCAGCAGCTCATGCTTCTTCAGCCATATTTACTCTCTTACTAGAAAGTTGCAGGGGGTTGGAAGGGTGCCGGTATTTTGCATTCATTTGCAAGTATATACACTAGAGTCGAAACTAGTGATGCCACAGAAGCCGCATACTGCAGTGAAGCAATTAGAGTGCTGAATGCTGGGAAACCAGGATTCAAATCTTCACTCAGCCATGAAGCTCCCTGGGTGATACTGGGCCAAACATTGACTCTCAGAGTAGCATACTTCACAAGGTTGTTGTGAGAAGGGAAATGGGGAGGAAGGGAAGCATGTATTCCACAATATAAATGTCTCAGAAAGCGTGTTCTCCTTCATGGAGAGCATGTGTTGTGGTGGGGGCCGACAGGACACTCATATGTTGTGGGGCGGCCTAATTGATCATTGGCCACTGTTGTGATTGGGCTTCCCTTGTTGTTGGGAAGAAGTTAATGTTGCCCTTTGATGATTGACAGCCAGAAATGTTAAAACTCCCTGCACTAGGCATAGAGCTTCCTCTTTTCGCTCCATGCATCGGATTTCCCGTCCCCCCTCCCTATATTTAGGGTTGTTCGCTTTGACCTTGCTATGCCTGTCATGGGGTCGTCTGGTCTTGGGGCAGGGGCCCAGTAGGAATTTTGTCTATCTGGCTGATTGGCTGGGGCCATTTGGTTTTTGCCTACTGTGTAGCAAATCGTCACAACTTGTAAGGTTGCGGTTAGGCATTGGTTTATGGTTTGGTTGGTTGAGGGGAATGGATTGGCTGTGCCTGCCCCTCTAATGCTGCTGCTGCAAGGGATTCCGTTAAAGGAATACAGGGGCTCACCATTGCTTTTGTCCGAACCCTGTCAAGGGGCTAGGGCCACGCAAGAGCCCCTGGTTGCATTTGGGGAGGGCTGAGGGCAGGTTCCCTGCTCCGTCGCTACCCCCAAATGTATTCCCCTTTTCTGACTTTCGCAGGCTTGCGAAATGTCAGTCTGCCCCCCACTGGGGGCAGATAGTTGCAATCAATGCCTAAGCAACCACTCACATTTTTGTATTTTAATAAAGTTGTGGCCAAAAATTATGCCAAAAACCTTAAACAAAATTTCTGTGTGATGTGTGAGTTATTTGGGGTGGCCTGGGGACCTCGACACACAAATGGTGTCTTAGGTGGTTCATAATACTCCTCTCAGCCAGTGGTGTATCGGGGGGTGGGGAACAAAGGGATGGTTGCTATGAGTGCAAAATTGTTAGGGGCACAAAATTCCAACACCTAGTATTGCCTCAATACAGCTGTGCACTTCCATCCCTGGGCTCCGTTGAAAACGGCTTCTTCATGCGAACCAGTAAGTGACCTCTCCAGACAACGGAACAACTCTTCTTTTCTTATCTCTGAGGGTGCGATCTCCTGGGTGATGCGGACACCATTAGGCAGTTGAATGCACAGATGTACTCTGTTCGTTTGTCTCCCACTTATCCCCTCTGTGTGGCCTGGGCCCTGGCAACCCATGCCACACCACTGATCTCAACTATGTGGCATTACAACCCTGAAAATTCTTCTCCAGCTAGGCCGCCTTCATTCATGACAGCCAGACAAGACAGGAAAGGGGGGAGGGTGAATTTTGAGGGATCAGGGTTGCAGGGTAGAAATAATCTCTGATGGGAATGAACCGACTTGGATTTTAATCTGAGTCAGAAAAGATTTGAAGGCTCCTAACAGTTGCCTCTTTGAGGTGAACATTGCAAGCTTTTACAAGCCATACCAAAGTCCCAGAAACACACATTTCACCCGCTTCTCTAGAGCAGAGTCCTGTCTCCCCATTGATTAGGATCATCATTCGTAGGGAAGATCCCTGGCTTCTTTTTCTCATATAATCCTTGAACTCAGCAGTCACGAGGCAAAGGGTGCTGAATTCAGGTTGCGAAACCCCTGTGAAGAAAGTGCTTTGGTGCTGCTATTTCTGCTGCTGCTTTTCCTCCCTGGCTACCATTATATAAACGCTTGAAAATGAAGTTGCCAGTCTCCTTATTGACCCGTTTACCCAAGATGAGACACTAGAAGAAAAAGGCTTGCAAAGGTTAATTGGTGTTATTGTTAAAATGTGCTTCTCTCCTCTATTCATTGGTGTCTCAGGCAACACTCAGATAGGCAGTGAAAGCAAAAGCAGGTGTGGGGGGTGGTGGTGGGTTTGCTAAAGTGTTCAGCCCTGAGGTCAGCAGCTCTTTCTCATTTACCAGCAGATAAAGCGGGTCTGTTTAAAGTGGCAAAAAGGAGGAAGAGAGAGGCATCTGATCGGGGATGAAATGAAAGAGCAGCCATGCCTCCAAAAAAGCATATGCATCTGCAAATATTAACATTTGCTTAGCTGTTTAATGTGTTTTAGAATGTGGAATTTTCCTTGAATTTTCAAGCTGATTTTTATGTACAATGTTTATTTTGATGCTATTTAGTTGTTGTGTTTCTTAGAATGTGGAAACCATCAGGTACTGGGGGTATTTGTCTTTTATTTAAGATGCTTTAAACTGTGTTAATAACCACTTAGATATTTGTTAAATATAACCAATCAGGCTTGGATCATTTTAAAGTGCTTCATCAGGTTAACTGCATCCTTCCTATTTACCCCTCCAAAATTAGTCTCAATGCTAGTCAATAGGTTCTCTCCCCCCCCTTTAACTTGGTCTGTACGTCAGTGTAGGCTAATGAAACAATCCCTGTGTTTTCCCGGACAGCAATGTGCACAGTCTACTCTTAGTACTAACCAATCATCTGAAATGAATCCATAAATTGTCAAGGATCAGGGTTTATAGAAAAGAGGAAGAAGAAGAATTACACAAAATTCTTGCTATATATATCTTCAGCTTGATACTTTGTAGGTTAGGTTTAGTACATGTATATATTGCTTCCCGATAAAAAGTCACAAAGCAATTTACGACCATCTTTTTAAGAAATATGATAATAATATCAACAACAATATGTTACAAATGGAAAACAACAATATGTCTGGAGCTGAAATGATGACCAGTTTGGTGCCAGGTGGAGAGCATTCCATGGGCAGTTTTAGGGTCCAGGCTGTTTAATCAATGGTACTTGGACTCTAACTATGATCAAGCTGTTTACAGTTCTGAGAGTTCTGCATTTAGAGAGGACCCTTTTGGCCTGTTTATACATAAATATTTCTCATTGTCTGCAGCATCATATGTGTATAACTGTGCCATGATGGCTTTATCAACACAGATATGAGCTTCATGGGACTCCAGTTGTGAAATGTATACTAATCGAATAATGAGAAACCAAAACTTAAAGAATGAGAGGAGAACTCATGTGTTATACAATCAAGAAGTGATGTGCTGTTGGCCACATCTGCATGGCTTTTCTCAGCGTAATTCACTCATTAAGCATGGATGTCTGCCAGGGGAAAGCCTACATGTGTGGACCTCTGTTGCGTAGGCTTCTCTGGGACCCAGGACTCAAAACACAGATGTGTTGAGGTCCCAAGGAAATCCAGTTCAAGGAGATCTGCATGTCCTGACTTTCTCCTTGCAGACGTCCATTCCTAATGTGTGGGTGGCAGGGCAAAGGAAACTATGCAACCTTGGGACATAGGTTGACATAGCCATTGACAACCTATGACATAGCCATAGGTTGACAGCACCACTGACATAGCCCTGGTACTCTTTGATTGTGTGACCACTCCATCACAAGTTAACATGTGGACTCTGAAGTTAATTCCATTACAGGTAGTTTCATTTGCTTCCCATGTGCTACAATGTTCCCAAAATAACTTTATGGCTAGTGCCTTTCCATAATACAATGAATATTAGCTGATATCATCTATTTTGTTCCCCTTTTCTTCATCTAAGGTGAGGTAAGACCCTCTATAGCTAACCAATATCTGAGCAGGCTCAAGAAAAGGCTCACATTTGAGGGATTGTGGTCCACAATTCAAGAAGCAGTGGTTTTCATTGCGTACTGTGACCCAGTGCTTTGGGGGGGGTTGCATACCCCTAAATATTTTGTGAATCTAACTTTGGCCTCATTGAGAGGCAGTGTTTCAATATGAGTAGGAAAATGAGAGTACCCCTAAACATTTTTTAGAAAAAAGCACTGCTGTGACTACACTGATTATTTCACATCTAACTACTTTTGGGAGAGCAAAGGTCCAATAATATGCTCCATTGTTTTAGGACAGCAATTTTAAAATTATGTTTCAGAGAACCCAGCTGTTCCTTGAAGCTCATCAAGAGGTCCTTCAGTGAAATTAGTTCTGGCATATCAGCTTTGCCTTCTGCAGTTGCAGGAGAGCATTGACTACATGCAAGCAGCATGATGGGGAGATCCAATAACATGCACCCCAGAACATTCCCAAGAACCCTCTCCATGGCAATCAAATTAATGTGGAAAGAGTTCCTGGAGTGTAAGAAGTTGAAGTGTTTGTTTACTCCTGTCAAAACATCTGGGACATAATTAATTTCCATCTTTAAAACAAGATCAGCTATTTGTTTGTTTCATAACAATGTTGTTTAGACTTTTACCTTATCTGAAGGGTCTCACTCAAGCAAAATTGCTATTGGGAGGGATATTGTCAATATAGTTAGCAATAAGTAATAAAGCAATTAGCAATGAGTAATGAGTAATTAGGGATCAAGCTGCAAAACACAGGGAGCTGTGGATGCTGTGATGATTTGACTTCGCAGACCATTAAAGTGCTGATTTCAAGAGGTAATTGTCCAGCATTTTGTTAGTAATACAGATCAGCCAGCATGCAGGTGCGAAGAGGCCTTTGGATTAGGTGTCCTCCAATGTGGAGATCTTGAACATTTTGGTAAACCACAAGAGCAAGTTCCTACCCATGATGGGAGCCATCAGTAAGAACAGGAAAGGACCCTATGGAGGAAAGAAACTGGGGGGGATGAGACCCATTGTCTGAACCACTTCCCCACCCATGTTAGTCATAGGCTCAGTCAGTTGAGGGCTCTCCCTACAGGGAAAGACTGCAGGTCAATGGCAGAGCACCCACTTTCCATCCAAAAGTCCCAAGTTAAAATAAATTCTAGACTCTAATTCTAAGTGCATGTCTACTTCTAGCTGGAAGACTCCACAATCCTCAAATGTGTCCACACCAGTAAGACACCATGGCTTATCTAGCCAAGATTGTTATACCAATGCCTATGGAACCGGAGCCCAACACCTTCATACTTTACAACTGCACATTTTCTAAAGGGAGGCCTGGGGAATCAGGATAGCAATGTTCATATGTTACATTCAACTAGTGTACAATGTGCGAACACAAATAGTTGGACTGTACATGTAAAGTTCAAGGAGTACGCAGTTTGAGTGTCTGTGTATACAGTAGCTGAGCTTTTCAAATCTAGTGTACACTCACATGCACTTGCATAGAGACAGTTGAACTTGTGTTTGGTGCAATGTGGGAACTAGCTTCAGTTCTTAAGTCATTGAGGTATGCAGGAACTGTTGAGAAACTGCTTGAGGAGGAAGTTCACTGGCTTTCTAAAAAGAGAATATGCAATGGCAGGGCTAGGTTAAGATGTTTCCCTACCTGAGGTGAAGGAAAAACTGGTGCCCCTCTGTTTCAGGTAGACTCCAGCTGGAATGACATCTGAATTTTACTTCAGTATTAACAGTGGGGCATTCTGCACCATACCTGAGGACATCAGGGTAGTTTAGAGGGTACAGAACAAGCTACTGGGGAATGGTGAAGGAGTACTGCTCCCAAAACACCTGCAACACTTTGCCTAAAAGTAGGCCCAGCCTTGTGTAACAACAGTTGCACTTGCTAGGGCGAAATTTAAAAGGCTCATCTTTTTTGGTTATCTGCCAAAAAGCTTCCCTTCAGGACTTGGTGTCAGACAATTATGCACATTATGGACATTTTGTGCCTCATTCTGAACATTGTCCTTGAGGGGAACGTATTACTGAGCCTGAGGGATCACTGTGCTCTGCTGCAGCACACCAATGCCTATGGCATTATGGAGGAGCATCGAAATATATCACCTATGAAATGAAGACATTAACCCAGACCTGGTCTGTTTATTCCAAGCCCAAGAAAAATCCCTCCGGAATCTTTCTCACAAAGCAGTTCTGCTACACATATTACTTTGAAATATAAAGCAAGAAGAAAGAAGGAGTCATAGGTACATCTTCACTAGCTACCACAAAGAAATTTCCCCTTTCTTGCACATAAAGCTTTAATTCTGAGATCAAGATTTCCTTGTGTAGGGTATTTGGCTGTGAATATGCTTGGGTCAGCTTGGGAATCTTCTTGCAAGTCTGAAAGGCAGGGTATTTAAAAAAGAAACAACCACACAAGCCATGTGTAACATTAGTCCGTTCACCCCTTCTCCATTGCAAATAACTGTTTAGGAGCCTTCCCTTTCAGGTGGCCTTACAAGTTGTGGCAGGATTGACTGTTTGCCACCACCTGAAGGAGAAGCAGCTAAGCATTCCTTTTCCTACTCCTCTTCTGTTGCACAGCCCTCTCTTCTCCTGTGAGTATTCAGTGGCTAGAAGCCCCAATGTCTATATTCTATCTCCACTGCCTGAGGCAGTATGTTTCTGAATCCCTGTTGCTGGAAAACACCAGTAGCAGGCGGTACAAACCAGGGCCAGCCCACCTATGAGGCAAGGTGAGGCGATTGCCTTGGGTGGAAGGATCCACAGGAGCAGAAGATCCAGCCTCAAAGGAATGCATTTCCTGTTGCTGCCACCACTGCTTAACAAGAGGAAAATTGGATCGTTAGCACAGCCTAACTGGGGTTAGCAGATGACTATGGTGCAGCTCTAACAATAGAAAATGCTAAGCATCAGGGTGAGCCCTGTGACCAAGATGGTGAAGGCAGGAAACTGGGGCATGGTAGGCACCGGCAGAGGAACAGGAGTGGACCGCCCCCGGCACCACTATTCCAGTAGGGTGCCATTGCGGCGGCCCCCCCGACACACACCACGCACCCCCGCGTGTGCGCCAGGAGCCACGGCCCCATAGGCGGCGCATCACACCCCCAGAACATGCGCCATGCCCTCACGGGTGGCGTACCATGCCCCTGGGATGCATGCCATGCCCCTGCAGGCAGCGTGCCATGCCCCTGGGATGCGCACCATGCCCCCACCTTCTCTCCGCCCCCGGCAGCGGAGCATGCAGCTTTGCCACTGATGGTAGGTGCTTAGAATACAAGAAATGGAAGCTCACAGCTAGAGACACATCAACACAGAATAATGAAGATGGCAGTGATTGAATTGGGGCAGGAGGAAGAGAAGGTATGGGAATCCTTAATGACAGCTGCAAGCCCTGCCCCCTGATTCCTCCTCCATAGCCTTCTAAGAGCAGTGGTAAGTAACCTTGGGACTCCTCTCTCCCCTGCTTTGGAGGGCCATAGCTCAGTGGAAGTGTGTCTGTCTTGCATGCAGAAGGTGCTAGATTCAATTCCTGGTGACTCCAGGAGACACTTTTGCCTGAAAACTGCCTGGAGAGCACATGTTGAGCCAGCAAGCTAGCACATAACGCTGTATAAGGCTGCTTCCTATGTTCTTCAGACCACCCTGCAATTGGAACACTCAGAGCAAAGGATGCAAAAAACAAATAAAAAACAAGGACTGAGAATATTATCTGGTGCAGTAAGGTGGGGGTGGGGTGGGGTGGCTCCTCTGCCATAATTGAAGCCTCAAGGGCCACACAATATTTTCTGGGCACAAACTCTACTTCTGGAAATGAGCCACAGGCTTAAAAAAAAATGTTTGCAGGCACCAACACTTAAGGCTGTTGCTGTTGCCAGACCCACTGGCAGATGTGATTGCTCTATTGGGGGGGAAAAATAACAGACACTTGGCTGAGCGGCTGCTACCTCACTGCAATTTTGCCTTGTGGAAATTTACCGCCCAGTCTTGCAGACGCTGATATAGCCGTGCTTCATGCTCTAGAAGAGAAAAGTTAACACTCTTTCCCAGCAATTGCTTAAGAAACGTTTTCTTCCCCTGCAGCTTTGTAGCCTGCAATAAGCAGACTGTGTCTGTAGTCAAGTCTACTGAAGATTAAAAGGCCAAAGAGGTGCAAGGAATTTCTGAGCTAAAATGCTCAAGCAGCAGTACTCTGCTCTTGATTTCAAAGGTAGCAAAGGGTTGGTGATGACGCTGAGCTCAAAGCTTTGATTTGGTCCTTATCTAATCAGGATAGAGGAGCCAATGGCTCCGTGCAGCGCATCTGCCGGTGAGGTCAGATTGGCCAGTGACCGTGAAATGTTTTGCCATTTGGGGGGCCACTAGGGGCGCCTTGAAAGATGGCTGCTAATAACATCTTGTCCAGCTTGCAAGAGGTAATTAGAGGCTGATATGAGGAGTACATCAGCCTCCCTTCGTCTTTTCAGGGAAGGTAAAGACGCTGCCTCACCTGCTGTTGCCATAAATCACCCCCGAGTTCGGATGAAGGAGGGGGTGAGAGGCACTAGGTGGAAAGCCCTCGGGCAAGCTTGGAGCTCCCTGCCAGCTTCTTTCAGGAGCGAGCCTGGCTGCGATGTTTAAAAAGAAGAAAAGAATTGGACCAATAAACGCACATGCTTCAAGAGAAATCAGGAATGCTTTTATCTGCTAATAAATTTACCACTGAGTGAAGAAGATCGAGACGGAAGGACGAAGGACGGAAGGAACAGAGATAACACCAGAGAACTGCCGACATTTTGGTATGTGGACGGTACGAGAGGAGAGGGGAAAGACTTTTTTATTTTATTTTTATGTGAGTACCTGATAACCCTCCCCCTCAAAAAACCGTCTCAACGACTAATTTACAAGTGGGAGTGAAAATGAACTATGTGGAAAAAATTATATGTCTGTGAAAGATTTGGAAACAAGTGAGTCTCTCTCAGTGACGCAGTAAGAAATGCTCCGTTGCGTAGGCAGATCTCGGCTGCAAGATGGATGGTCTAGGGAGGAAGAGCCGCTTGGATATCAGGCTGGAATCGTAAATCAGAAAGGGCTGTTATCCTCCTGGAAGACTAATTATGAGGCAGCGGGTCTGGAAAGTAAACGAGTGGACATTTAGACTGTATTTCACCGGAATGACAGGACGGAGTGTCTGCTCAAAAACATGATGGTTGGATTTGTGGACATATGAGAGAGCATTATAAAACCCACACAGAGACAAAATAAGACTGTTCCTTTTAATCCACTTGTGGAGAAAACTCGGAGGTGACAGAAAAGGAAAATGAATAAATGACAAATATGAGAAGATGGGACTGGAAACATCATTGCAGTAAGGAAAGCAGCACGAATTTGGATCTTTGGATTCCTGACGATCGAGGAGCATGGGTACCCCCCACAAAAAAAAATTTAATTTGGAAAACATTTGGACTTTATGATGTGTATTGATATAATTTGGACTAATACGTATGATATGTTTAATTTGGCAAATGGAAACTTAATAAAAATTATTGAAGAAAAAAAAAGAAATGTTTTGCCATTTGGTTTGGTTAGTTGTTTATCGGCCTACTTTTGCAAAAAGGAGTTGGGTTTGCTAATGTACATCTTAGAACTATATTACGGACTGTGGTGCAGCTCTGGCAACATAAAACATATGGTTCACCCTGTGGTCAAAGAATATGTTGAATATTAGAACTATCTAATATGTGAACTTAGTAAATAAGATAGTAGATCAGAGCCAAGTTCAAATCTTACTTCAATCATAAACTCATCAGTTGGCCTTAGGTCTGCCAACATCCTCTCAGCCCCATATCTGCAACATGAGAAAACCGTGCTATACTTCAGGTTTAGCACCAGTGCGTAGAATATTGAGGCATGTCCCAGTCAGGGGGTACCACCACTGCTTTGGCTCAGTTGGGCAGAGACTGAAGAGATGAGCCGTCCAGCGAATGATGACTAGCTGGATGACTACCTTTGCTACAACTGCTCCTGAGGTTTTGGTGGTGAGCTCATGTACACCAGCAAGTATACATGCTGCTGGTGTGTGCGTTTGTGTGTGAGAGGCTGGCTTCATTATACCAGTGGCACTGGTGAGGGAAAGGAGCATCATATAGTCCTAGAGTTTCACTTGGTGCTGCCACTATAGCCTGTGCATCACCTCGCAAGTGGCAAAAGCCAGGCCCTTTCAGGGGGCCTCATGAGGTCAGACAGAGCACCTCACCCAGTTCATTGCCTCCAGAAAAACCTGGGGGGAAAAGACCTGTCAGCATTACTGGATTATAAGGATTACTGTGACAATAATCCTGGACTCACACATTTTTATGAAAACTTTTTGATGAATACATGTGGGATCAGGACTGTATGTGCTGTCTCTACTCTTAATTCCTAACCTCCATGTCCGTTTAGACATTAAACTGAAGCTCTACATAGAGTTTTCTCTGGACAGTGGGGAACTTAGAGTTTCTAGTCTTGCAGAGGGATAGGCATGCAAAATAACTGCACATGCATGAGCTTTATGGAGCTGTTCAGCTGAATGCATGGAGTCTGGGAGGGGTGACATTTCAAGTGACCCCACCCCACTGTTCCCACAGTTCCACTGTAGCATTTGACTAGAAATAGTATGCATGAGGCATTCTGAATGCTCAAAAGGTGCTATTAAAAATATAAATATTATTGTCAGTTAACTGTTAGCTGGGCAAACACCTCTTTGGACTGCACCTCGTTTCTGTTTATAGTGCACTGTGGTCCATATGGCACAGGTTACCTGTGAGGAACTTGTGAGTGCAAACAGTGATGTAGACGCAAAACACTCTAGGGGTGCATTTTTTTGGCCATTTAACAGTACTTCGCATTTGTATTGTGATTTCAGGTATTTGAGGTCCTCATCCCTTATCTAGACATAATCCCTAATGCCATTTTTTGAAGCACAAAAAAGAGGACACATTTGCTGACTTCTACTTTAAACTATGGATCGCTATGACGACTCTCGTTTTACATACCCATGAAAAAGAGGATGTGTCCTGGAAAAAGCAGCCATATGGCAACCATACACTATAAGATAATTCAGCATTGTTATTTTCATATTGTAGATGGGGAGACTGAGAGAGAGTGACCTGCCAGTGAGTTCATGGCAGAAACATAATTAGAACAGAGGCTTCCTGACTCATACCTTGGCTTCTTCACCACTGTGTTTTATCAGCAGCCTATCGTTTGACTTGGGAATGAGTCTGATTGACCTGACCGGGGCTTTTTTTCCAAGTAAACATGCATGTGATCATGCTGCAGAAGTGCCATTAATTAATGCATTTAATTACGCACATGACTAGTATGATTAATTACTGTAAAATAACTATTCACCGTTACTATTAAAACGACGCCTTTAGGTTCCATGTGAATTCACTCAAATTGGCTGCTATTGAGACAGCTGAAGCTTCCATTTGTTGGAAGACGTTAGACAAGGAGGAATTCATGCCATGTATTATGAAAAGCAGAGGGCACTTGCTGTCTGTTGCCATTAATTGATAGTGAAGGAAATGGTCCTTTACTAAATGCCAGGAATTGACTTAATGGGATAAAGTTTGTGTTCAAGCCCTACGCGTGCCTAGTGATGAAATTACAAACGCACTGTACATTTGTTTTCAATGCAACTGTCAATTGAGCGAAAGGCACACTAGCACAACTACATGTCTAATGGCTCGAATCTGATCTCCCACTCTTTTTTCTCCACGACAAAGTGGCCTGGCAACTGCAAAAAGAGAGAGGAGGAAATGCTTCCTTCCTAACTTGTTAGCTGCTGTACACGTCTCTGGCTGAATGGCAAAGTGTTTTTATTCGTCAGCTTACATGGGAACTCTAAACATTTTAACTAAACACCCCAAACAGCTGTTACCAAGGGCATTTCTGCAGTTCTTGGGAATGATCATTACTTGGGGTGGGGAGGAACGTTGCCTGTAAACAAACCATAAGCTGAGTGATGATAATTCTGCAGTGAGAGCTAAAAATGGTCTCCTATTGCCACTAAAGCACTGTGGTGCATCTCAGTTCCTAAAGCTTCCCGATTAACTGGACACAGGGCATGTTTGAAGATGCGCAGAGACTCTGCTTCGGTGATGTAAACTCAGTTAAGTGTGCAGGACCTTGGAAACAAGTTATTCTGTGCGTAGGTGGGGAAGGCCTGACAATCTGCAATAAACTAAACAAAAAATCCTTTAGGCAGCACTGCAAGAGACAATTCTGTTCTGTGCATCAGAAGCAATAGAATTAAAGGGGTGGAGGAATCTTATAGGTTGTGCTGTCCATGTTGACTCCTTGTGAGTTCAGCTGCTATTTCTGCACTTCTACACATTGAGACACCTCATGTGATATAGAACCTGGATCTTCTCTGAGGAGGGATTTTTTTTTTTAAAGAAGTGTTCACATAAAACTGAATTCTCAAGCTGGCGTTCCTTTCTTTTCCTGATTATGCTCTTGAGTGATAACCTCTGCCTACCTATGACTATGAATCTGCTCCTGGCCTTACTGATCCCCTAATCCTGCCTTTGAGATTGATCTCTTCCTGACTTTGACCACATATATGCCTCTGGTCCTTTACTACTCCTGGACTCTGCCTTCTACCATATCAGATATGCTCCTTGGCCTACTTGAATGAGCAGCCTCCCTCCAACACCCCCCACCCAGGGCCAGAACCTGATGGTAAGGATTCTTTTCAGTCTGCATTTTTAAGCAAGCTAAATTAATACTTGGATTAGAACACAGTTATCCTCGAGACTTCACATTTTTCTGAATTCTGCAACACAGCTCAAAAATGTAATAAAATGCATATTTTAGTTTTAAAATGTATACAAAAAATCTGTGAAAACTACATTTTAAAATAATGTGTATTTTCATACAAGTTTTTTTTTTAAATGATGATGATAATAATAATAATAATTGCAGATTGATATGGGAACAAAATAGAATGGACCACAGATAGAAAGATTTATCCATCCGTACCTGATGGTCTAGAGGAGCCTGTCTCACATGCTAAAATGTCAAATCCAACCCAAAAATTCTGACGAGTCAGATCACCAATGCACATTGACTTTTGCCATCAGTGCATGGTGACAATTAAGTAGAACAAAGTATGGCTTACACATCATCTGTCACCTGCCAAGCTGAACACAGCCTATCACACATGACTGGCAGTCTAGGAATAGGTTGATATGTTTGCCTGCCTAGGATTACAAAGATTCATGAACAGGGATGGTAAGAGTGGCAAGTCACTGTTAAGGACCACTGAAATGGAGACAGAATGCCTTTCCAAAGTCAACATCTTGCAAATGTGAAATGATGGGTGCTCCAAACGTAGCAATAGGGTGCTCCAAGCATAGCAGCAGACAGAACAGTTCTGTTTCAAGTGCTTACTACACTTTTAAGTGATTGCTAATCTATGGCCATTTGATGTACCTTTGGGGACAATGAATTTGCTGGTGAAGAATTATCATTGGAATAATTCATTATCCTGGAGGAACTGTTCTGTCTGTTGCTATGCTTGGAGCACCCTATTGCTACGTTTGGAGCACCCATCATTTCACATTTGCAGTATACTGACTTTGGAAATGCATTCTGCCTCCATTTCAGTGGTCCTTAACAGTGACTTACACTCTTACCATTCCTGTTCATGGAACACTTATTTGATGTTTATTAGTTTGTGACTCCATGCACATATTGCATATCTTCTGTTTATGAAATTTGAAACAGTATTATGATAAAAATATTGTCAGTACTGTATATTATTAGCCAGTGTGTTGCTCGTTGTTGCTTACAGTGTTCTGTTTTGCAACACAGGGGATTTTCTTTGTTGTAGGATTACAAAGATGGCATGATTGTCAAGCACCTAGCAGGTGACAACACATGGATGATAGGTAGCATTTGGCTTGGCAGGTCTGTTGTGCTGGTCTGGATTTGGCTTGATGGGTCACTTTTCCTGCACAGATTCCCTGAAAGGATTCAGTGAGCAAGCTAGCATTCCTCCCAAATTTTGCTATTTGACCACAGAATGTTGAATGCCGTCAGACAAGCTTGTTCATTTGGATTCTGACCACATGGTGAAATTGATCATGCATGCAGACTGTTGTATAGAAGGAGCTTCTCTGTCTTTTGGCTGCCCCAGTTTCAATGCAAGCAGGAGATCTGGGCAGACCAAGTGATATGCACGAAGCCGAGTTGCTCCCATTGAGATAAAACAGAAAACCTTGACATTTACTCCAGAGCCAGTGTCAAAAGAGTGAAGAGTCAAAATCCATTCCAAGGCTTGCAGTCTTTGACAAAAACATCCCCTGTAGTTAAGCAAAAGTGACAATTGGCTGGTATTGTATTCAACCATCTCTGACATCTCCAGCTTGAAGGAATGAATGAGCATTTGTAGAAGCTGCCTGATAGGAAATTTCATAG